TGATAGAGAAGGAAGTCTTCTCTATATTTTATACTCGAAGAATGAGTATAATTAGGTTTTAAATAAGTTTTCTAATTGCCGAATAATTTGGAACCTGGTCATTCGTTGACTTATGGAATGTGAATGGACATTGCGCGGTCTTAAAAAAATCTCATAATTAGAAACTTTTTAAAAACCTAGTTATACTCCTTCTTCGAGTAAAAAATATGAAGACTTAATTCTCTATCAAACGACTGAAAGAAAGCGTATTTTTGTTTATGGTTTCTATAAGGTATGTTTGAATTTGCAAGACCATTGAAAATCAATTGGAAAAATGCATGCTACTGAAGTAATAGTTTTTATTGAGTAGAGTCTCTACAAGAAATTGAAAAGCAGTGTATTCAAAAGCTGACATCCTGCCGAGTCCGAAATATTATAGGATTGTGCCTCAAGATAATCAGTATTACAACCGCGCCTAAGTAATCCGTCCTAATCGAAGACGCATTTCAGAATTCCAGCCAGCTTTACGTGAGATCGGTCACTCACTGTATTTAGCTTTTGAAAAAGTTTACAATTATGAGATTTTTAAGACCGTGCAATGTCTATTCATACAGCATCGCACATGTGCGTTTGCCAATGTTTCTCATGAAATGTAGAACATAGTTTGCATCCACTACAATATTTTATGAACTCTACATGGTTTCTTTTTAAAGGCGTAGAGAAATATATGACTTTTCTTACGCCGGAAGCGTGCACCATGTAGACTGAAATTGTCACAAGCTAATACAAAGGCTGATCAGGCTCAAAATTATTCGGGCATAGGAAAACTTTTTCAAAATCAAATATACCCTTTTTCAAGTATAAAATGTAAAGGCAACGTGATTCTCCAAGAAAAGAGTGAAAGAAAGCATATTTTATGCATGTTTTCTGTAAAATATACTTGAATCAATAAGACCATCAAAAATCAATGTGAAGAATGCGTGCTACTTAAGTAGTCACTTCTTACCGAGTGTGAGTTTTACAAGTCAAAAAGAAGTATATTCAAAAGCCAACACCCTGGCGAGTCCAAAAAATCATAGGATTATGCCGCATGATAATCAATATTGTGGCGGTGCCTAAGTAATCCTAATCGGAAACGCATTTCTGAATTTCAGTCACCAGTTCATGAGATCGGTCACACACTGTATTATCAGGAAATAAAATGGAGACTGAGCACGCCTTTTCTGACACCGTCAGCCGATCATGGCTCTATCTTAGAACATCGAGGATTTGAACCAGACCCTGGAATAAGGCTGATCGGCGAAGCCCGCTCTCAGAAAACATTGAATACTCCCGACGGAATGCAAGCACGCGGCTAAACTGACTTGGGCCTAAGTCGTAGGTCTTCGCAATCTGCGAGCGAGACACGGCTGGTGGCCGGAAACGACCGTTTCAATCCTGTTCCTGTCGGCTGCAGTTCTCAATCGCATACCTGGTAAATACCGTCCGAGCGCCGAATCGCCGTACGGTTGGTCACTTCCGTGGACATGGTCGGACCAGCAGAGGTGAGTCATGGATGTGCCGTAGAGAGCGTGAAAACTGTTTGCCGGCGCTCACGTTAGCGAGTACGCTGCCTGTCCGTTCGTCACTCATCATCCGCACGCGTATGGGGGACACCCCTTCTCGTAACTAGTCCGGCCCTTTTTCGTACTGGCCCACCCAAGCGGGTGTGAACACTCGCGTCCACCCAATTCAAAGGCTGACGACGGCTAATAAACCAAAAACGGTCATCCCGATCTCCCTTGTCTTTGTCGGTATCACCCTATCTGCATATATCACTAGTCGCTATGCGACTGCCTTCGAGGGTTCTACTTTGACCTGCAAGGCACCACAGGACAAGCAGGTTCAGTAACCTGATCGGTGAGCGCCCATCTACCATAAAGGCAGATTTACTTGCACCGTCCGGTGGCTGGAGCTCACGCATAGGCACGGAATAAACGCGTTCATTTTAAGCCCCTACGGGCGCGTGACAACTAAGGTCAAACTAACTATGACACGATTCACATCCATTGTCCATTCATCCGTTCGCCAACTAACCTCGCCTTCTAGTACCTTTCCCCGAAAGGGATGAGTTATAATGAGGGAGTGTGACCTACTTGGGTAATGAGGTGACGCTGACATGCCTACTAGAAAACCGGTGGGGAATGCAGCGCCATGGGCGGCAAATGGGCGGACGGCCGAGGAAGGTGTCGACGTAGACAGAGAGAAGCGAACGTTACGGTGATTCGCGGGGTGGGGGGGGGGTTGGCGGAAAAGGGCCGCAAGGTAACTTTAATCCCAGACTACTACAATGGCCAACGGACAGACTTCCCTCATGATGAGAGAAGCGGCAGGTGTATCATGGGAGACTGAACTGCATGGTCGAGCAAACGACAATTGGAATACTTTGAGTTCCTTACTGAAAAAGATTGTTTATTCCAATTGTCCTCTCAGAAGAAAGGCAATTACACACCGCACAAAATGAATAAGCTCGGACTTAAATATCTCTTTCAAAAAGAGGAATTGCCCGTGGAGGTGGTACAGACTAACTGGCTCCTTCAGTTTTTCTTCATCCGAAAACCTAGTTCTATATTTGCCCATCCATCCTTTCGCCAAACAATCTCTCCTCCTAGTACACTCCCCCTCCTACCCCCTCCCTACCGTCCTTAATCAAGTAACCACTCAAGGAAAAGTGGAAAACGAATTGGCCAATCAGAACATTACGCCAGCAGGAGTGACAGGGCAAAATCGATTTCTTAGGCATTTTTAATGTTAACTGTTTTGCACACTTAACGTCTGAGGGCGACTTGCGGAACCAAATCGAAAACTTACAATAAAACCTGTCTATCTTTCCCAAAGAGCTTATTTCTTCCGAATTATGATTCTTGAGATGCCGGTTTTCAAATTCATACGCACACATACACATACACTGCGGGCGGCTACTGCTCAGAATGGGCACCTGTTACGAGTGGAGTCCCACAGGGGTCAGTTCTTGGGCCGCTCCTATTCATTATCTATTAAAATGACCAGGTACGGGAAGTGAAATCAGACATAGTGCTCTTTGCAGACGACCTTAAACTTTGGAGAGCGATAAAAGATGAAGATGACGTCAGGATGCTACAAGAGGAAGTAACGAATTTGCACGCATGGAGCGAGAAATGGTGCATGAAATTCAACGTCAAAAAATGTGCAGTAATGCACGTAGTATCAGCGAGGCGAAGAACAAATGCACCCCCACGACAGTATCTCCTGGACAATCAACCACTCAAAACCGTAGATGTGCAAAAAGATCTCGGTGTATTCATTAAAGACGATCTAAACGTCACCACGCAGTGTTCTAAAGTCGCTGCGCGGGCAATGTCCGTTATGAGCGCGATACGCAGAACGTTTATTCACTTGAATAAAGATGTCTTTGGCAAAGTATACGGGACATTTGTGCGGCCGCACCTGGAATATGCGGTACAGGCTTGGCGGCCGTGGCTTCGGAACGATATAGATATCCTTGAAGGTGTACAACGGCGTGCTACAAAGGCTGTTCATGGCCTCAAAAACTTCACGTACGAGCAGCGCCTGACGGCCTTGAACCTCTATCCCCTCCACTACAGGCAGGACAGAGGTGACCTCATAGCAACGTTCCAGGTGGTAAAAGGACTTAATCTTGATGTCGACTGGGAAACGTTTTTTGAAATGGCAACCAAGTCCAATCTCAGACGACATGATTACCAGCTTAAAAAGGAACTGCGCCACACAAATCAACGTTCCTCCTTTTTCTCACAGAGGGTCATTCGCCAATGGAACTCTTTGCCGGAGTTTGTTGTTAATTCCCCTACCGTGAACGTGTTCAAGAGACAACTGGATACTCACCTGCTGAAAGGCAACCCAAACAGCCGAAGCCTGATCTAACGGATTATTGAAATGACTATAAATATACTACTAACATGATTTCAACAGATCCTATTTTTCGCGTCAAACTTAGCCCATATTGAAATTTTCACAGTCCGAATGCGGTGAACAAAGTTTTTCGCAATTATTTTGCGAATATAATACCCCTTTCACCTTTATGTTACATTATTAGATTTATGAATTCTCCCTACTAAAACTGCAAGCAAAAAATTTGCAATTTAACTATTTTACTTTATACCTGTACCCTCTAAATTGAGTTTTCATGGCTTCTGTCGTTTACTCCAAATATACTGACTGATATATACACATTCAGGAGTGCTGGGTGTCCGCCTCCATCAGGTTGATCATAAAGACTCGCTTGTGCAGATAAACATGTTCGCAGGCGGCGTTTGTTTTGATGGCAAGACAGGATCAGGGTGACTGAATATAAGCACGGGTGCAGTAATTGAGTAGGTATTCACCCCCGTTTACGCGTGCCGCAACACGGATGGTTCTTCCCCACTAACCGAACCAAGCTACGCATCAAAGTTCCTTGATTGGAAGGACGTCTCCCGGCTGCAAAGCCTAATCTGGTCTCCCCAACGGGCTACGATCGTTGGACTCAGCTTAACCTCCTACGACCATAGATGGGAGTTTGGCACCAGGTGGGGGGCATAGTGGGTGGCTGCGGCACGACTGTCAGCTCCTCAGTTCCGTAAACGAGACCTCAGCAATACAAGCATCCAAGAAACCGTCTCATCCCTAAACCCTGAAGACCCCGCGTTCTAGATCGGTTTAGGATAACAAAAGGCCAACCACACGTGTTGGGAAGGTGACTAGAAGAGTAGCATTAATGTGCACCGCGGCAACTGACGCGATCGTCAAGAAATCGTCAAAGCACTGAGCAACAAAACTCCCACCCCAAATGGCGCCAAACAGGCAAACAAAGGTGGCGGAAAATAGTAACATTTATTCGATTGCAGAAACATTATGCGCAGCAAGCGGTGTAGAAAGCGTGGTCATAGGGAGTTGCTGAAAGCAGGGTGGACAGAAGGAATTCTTAATATTTACACCTTGAGAGCGGGGGGGGGGGTGGAGGAGGAGACGGTAGCGCGGGCGCTTTAAGCGCTGGTCTCGTCGGCCCCGGTTGAGACAACAGCGGAGGCGGGTGGGTTGAGGATGAAACCCGAGTTGGTGACCGGTGTCTCACCGGGGAAGAAGGCGTTAGCAATGCGGGCGGCCTCACGAAGGCCCGAAAGTAGAGCGCCGTGCACTGAGGCTGGGTAATGACGGCAGGTGTGCTCGCCGGCAAAGAAGATACGAGGACAGTTGGCAGCAGAGGTCCCTGGGATTGTCGTCACCGCCGCCGCCGCCGTCGACGTGGGTGTTGGATGGAAGAAGAGGTTCCGGGGCTCGGGCGTCTCCTGTCCTGCGGTTTCGCCTGTGTCCGCCAGACTCAGAGGTTCCGCTAGGAGGTCGTAGTCCTCACCTGTGGCGCCCACTGCGACGTAGGAGTAGGAACCACGCGAGTTCACGTCCGACTGCCAGCGGGTCACGTAGGCATCAATTGGCTGTTTAGAAAAAAAGGGAGTGATATCAATCAGCACGGAAAACAACAACAACAACAGCCAGCATCACCAGCTGAGTGACGAAGCGCACAAACACATTAATAGGACGATTTCGAGGTGGCGCATCCAAAGAAAAATGACAGACTACTTACATCGGGCACGCCTTTTCCCGAGTCCGAGTCTCCAGTGACGTCGCGCTTAAAAATCTTTCGTAATTTAGCCATCGCCACGGCCACGATGGGCTCCTTGAGGTGACTGCTGGGGCCTCCGGCAGTGGCCGTGGCCGTCACAGGGGTCGACAGAGTGGAACCGCCACGTGACGTCTTTCCATTGGCCGACGCGGATCCTGCCTCACCTGACGATCCCGGTGCAGCCTGTTCCAGGTCGAGCGCAGAGCGACCCGCAACCAGGGCAACCAGGCAGGGTCTCTCGGTGACCGACCAGAAGAGGAAGAGTTCACCACGTTTTTCCGTGCAGTCATTGACACAGCCAAAGGATCGCTGTGATTTGTCCCAGAAAAAGCGGTCGAAGAAGAGGACCACCTTGTTGAGGCATCCAAAACCCAGACGTTCTATTGCAGCCAATTTCCACTCAGGCAGGAGCGGGTCGAAAAGAGGGGCGTTGGCGCAGAGTGAACTGCTTTGCTGTTGTTTGGCTGGAGTTTTTGTGGCGGCCTCTCTCTGTCGACGTGCTGATTCCTTAAGAACGCCCAGCGGAAAAGTGCAAATCACTGCTGCTGCCTTATAGCTAATCGGTTCATCCGGACTGAAAGCAGCATTCAAACTATCCACAGTGACACCTAGGGCGGAAAGACGTGATTTTTGATCAATTTCAAAACATAACATCTACTAATGCTATTAAAGTAGCGCTTACCATTTTCTGCAATGGTAATCGACTTGACACATGACTTGAGCTCAATCTGGCCGCAGGCGCTGCTACCCGAAGGAACAAGAGTGGTAGTGTCAACTTTAAGCGCAGGTCTCTCGCCGTTAGTAATGCTGCTAGAAGGTGTAGAGGGTGAGGAAGTAGAAACCGAACTAGCAGTCGTAACCAAGGCGTCAACAATGCCACCGAAACAACCGCGGATGGCGCAGTGTGCACCAGTCAGCTCAAAGGCATCGTCCTGATCCCAATGCCGAAGCGATAGGTTCTTCAACTCGGTCGCGTTGGCAAATTCCAAGTTTGCAAAGTGCCAGTCAATGAGATGACGCTCTGAGGGGGTGAGATATACATCCCTAGAAGGTTTAAAAGGTGTCCGTAAAGTGGCCGAGAGGAATAAATCATGAAGTGAAAGGCACAGAAGGGATGCCCGCACTGACCTTGGTGGGTTTTGTGCAAGGACCTCAAGTTGTTGATTTATTCTTGCAAGATTACTCTGCAGAGGATCGAACTCCTTCCAGGCTTGGTGGAGTTCAGATAGGAGGCGTCGCTTCTCGTACTCCATATCCAAGTCGAAGACCCGAGGGATCTTTGTCATCGTCTCCTGTAGTGAGTTCTTTGCTTCCGTGGATCGGGGCGGCGAAGTGATCGGGGATCTAAAACGCAACGAGTAAATGCAGTTTGAGTTGTCTTCTGATGTGAAGGCAATCAGAATCTAAACAACCGATGTTACCTTGGCGTCGAAGCAGCACGAAAGGGCTTCAAGAAAGACGCAACAAGATGATAACAGCGGGGGGGGGGGGAAACTAAAGCGTTCACGTGCAGAGAATGACACCATCAGACCGCTGTGCGAGAGGCTCCTGACAATGACTGCTCACGTACGGTAGGTGGCCAATCTCATAAAATGTTAACCGGAATCCTGACACGAGTTCTCAATTAGGAAGGGTTCCTTACGTGGGGTTGTTGTATTGATTATCGTGAAGCATAATCCCTTGATTTTTTTCGGTCACGCTAAAATGTCGACTTTTAAATGCGCCTCGCCTGGCAGCCTGCGAAAACCTTATTGGGTAAAAAAATGACTACCTAAGCAGCATGAGTTTTGTTCACTAATGCTTGATGCCCTCATAAATTCAAATACATTTTACACGAAACATGCACAAAAGGACCATTCTTAGCACTCATTTGGTAGAAATGCCGCGTGTTCTTCAAATTTTATACTCTTTCGTTTTTTAGAAGGTCCTTGAGTTCTCAAATAATCTCGAGCCCAATCTGCTGTTGCACTTGCGTATATGCTCAGTGAATGGTTCTCAATGCTGCCTAGTGTGCAATGCTAGCTTTCTGTTGAGAGCCTTCCAACCCGCTGCGTAAAGTAAACTCGTAAAAAGGGTGTGTTGCCTGATCGATTTATGATAATTGAAAAAGTCCAATGTTATTTTCTAGAAGGGTAGCGGTATCTCCTAATCCCTCCACAATTTCCGGACCTTGTAGTAAACTGAACAAAAAACGGTTTTTGCATTTTTATGCATCCCGGCGCGTTGCTGTGTGAGCAGGCTAGAAAAAAAGACTGCACGAGCAACGATAAAATGCACGGTAGAGTAGATGAAAGTTTAAATGAACCTAAAAACTTGAAAGGCTAGAACAAGTCAAACATGATGACTGATAAACAAGACTGAAGTTCGTGGAGGGAGGGGAGGAGGTAGGGAGGGGTGTTTGGCAGGGGCCGGCTCCCAGGGTGGTTGGAGACGGATCATGTGGCTAGGTCGCGCGCATAACCCTGGCTTCACTCTCTCCTTGCCACTGCAGTTCCCCGATAACGTGGGAGAACGGGCTGCCTTTAAGCTACAGATGATCTTGAACTGAGACCCAGAGTTTGGCGAGCGTTCAAAGCAGGCATTTTGTGATTGAACCTCTGGACACCTTGTTCTCTGCCCTCAACAGTCACTTTGGTTCGCGTTGCTACTTGTGTCCGATACTGCATGCAACCCAATGGACATAGTCAGAGGTGAGGGGAGGTTATCGACAGAGGTGTGGATAGGTCGAGACTGCACTGTTTCGGGCTTATTTTGTCTTCATTCAGCCAGGCAGACCGAAGGCTACCAGTTACAACCAGAAGAGTAAGCATTCGTGGGCGTGTACGCAAGGCAGCTGAATGAAGCAAAAGCCCTCCATCGGACCGAAGTTCATTAGTGCCTCGTCATCTGACATTCTCTACTGTCACAGTAAGAGGTGACGGTGACATCCACCGAATCTCCTCTTTCCCAAGCTACCAGGCTCAGAAGGCAAGATAAAGGTGGTGGTGGTGGTGGTGGGGGTGGTGGTGGTGGTGGTGGTGGTGGTGGTGGTGGTGGTGGTGGTGGTGGTGGAGATCTCACATAGGCGAGGGAAATCGTAGCTCGACTCTTCCTCCTCTAGTCACTCATCGACACGCCCTGTTATCCAGTCAGTTGCCGGCTTTCCAGGTCACGACTGATAACGTTTCATGGTAGGTTTAAACTCATCAGGTTCATTATAGTGGGGAATTTGTTGATTTGTCATTAGGGTGGATTGCTGACAACTATTGGTCTCACCCTATCTTTGCTCTACCATACACCAGTCGACCGTTTGGTCAAGGCCTCGCACGGACTCAACGCAGCCCAACAAACGCCTGGCATGAGCCACTGCGGCTCCCGTTTTGATGCAACAACGTTGAGTGCCCCTGTAGGTGTCACGGGGTTGAGTGGTGAGTCTGATCAAGGTCCCATGAATGAACTAGGGGGTATGGATGGGTCATGTGAAGTCAACTGAGAGACTGTATGGTATCGAGAACCGCTGAATCGAACTCGTGAACAGAATGACGAAGGATATAGAAAACCTGATCCGGTAGTCAGAAAAGACAAACTAAAGAGATCCACAAGGGGTTTTGGCTGACAAATGCATCCTGCTACTCGGATGACGGATTTGATCACAGTCTCTAGTGACCTGGGACCATCGGAGGCTTTACGTCAAGTTTCTTACTGATCCGGTGGAATAACAGGTCCATCGAGTCTAAGTTGGGCAGTTGAGGGGGGAGGGGAGCGGGGAGAGCAGAGGAAATGGCTTACACATTCTCCGAGTCATTCTTCTTCCTTTTCTGAGGACCGCTCCTCCTGCCGAGAGCCGGTTGTTTAGCTGGCGACGGCAGAGCGCCTTCGTCCGCCTTCCCCTCTTTCGCTGCCACGGCGGCTCGCTTCTCTCCCCGTCTACCACTCGCCTGTGACGGGCTCAAGCCCTCGGTGTTTGGGCCTGTAGTTGATCCCGCTGTCGCCAACGCAGCTGATCTCGCCTTGCTCGGAGATGTGGAAGCCGAGGAGGCAGGCGAGGTCTCGTCCGCCTGCTGCTGCTGTTTTCTGCGTCGGGCACCCGGCATCGGACTGCCCGCATCGGGAGGCTGCTGCTGTTGCGGTGCCTCCGGCTTTTGCTGCTGCGGCTGCTGTCCGACAGATGTGGGCTCGGAAGCCTGCTTCGCAAGTTGGGTGGCCTGTTGCCACTTCTGAAAGGCCTTTTCAATCACATCGCGGGCTGACGCCATCTTCAAAGGGCGGGGGAGGCAGGGTAAGATGGGCAGATGTCGAGGAGAACTAGTAAAGTCAACTCAGTCAATCTAGACGGAGAACTGACCGGACAGGATACACGCTCTTTAGGCCATGATGGCAGTGAAAAACGGTAAATGGCGGTGCTGTTTGCGACAGAGGTGATGGCATTACCAGGCGTACCATTAGCAGTCGCAGTAGCGCTATTATTTATGATGTTACTGGCAGAGTTGGTGATGGTAAAACATTATATTCGACATTACTTGGCCATAATAGAGGTCGGGTTTTGGTACCAGCAGTAATAATATAGGCAGAAGAGACACCAGAAGCAATAGTAGTAGTAGTGGCGGTAGTAGTGGTAGTAGTAGCAGTAGTGATAGTAGCAGAAGTGGTAGTGGTAGTAGCAGTAGTAGTGGTAGTAGTAGTAGTAGTAGTAGTAGTAGCATTAGTGGTATTAGTAGTAGTAACAGTAGTGGTAGTAGTAGCAGTAGTGGCAGCAGTAGTATCAGTAGTAGTACTAGTAGTAGTAGTAGTAGTAGTAGTAGTAGTAGTAGTAGTAGTAGTAGTAGTAGTAGTAGTAGTAGTAGTAGTAGTAGTAGTAGTAGTAGTGGTGGTGGTGGTGGTGGTGGCAGCAGCAGCAGCGGCAGCACCAGTGATAATAGTTAATGCAGACGCATCCTTGGTGGCAGAAATACTGACAATAACAGTGATATTAGCGGTGATGGCAGCAAAATTTCCAGCAGTTGTAGTAAATACGACAGCATTACTAGTACTAGAAGTTGTTATAGTATGACAGCAATGCCGGAGTAGCAGTGGGGGCAATAATGATGGTACTAATAGACATGTTAGTAGTAGTTTTTATTGCCGCAGTAGTGAGTGGACATATAGCAGCTTCTCCCTATCGCGACTCTGATTTAGAACGCAAGACCATCTTGCTGTTGGCTAAACAAAAAGGGGAAAGAGCTCATCCACCAGGGGGTGACAGTGCAGTATTGAAAGCGAGCCTTGCCCGCACGTTCGGGTGATGTGATTGGTCAGTTGCGAACAAGGCGTCGCCCTCCTGCGGAGGCAGCAGTGGACTCCAGTGGGGCAGCCCCAGGGGCCCGTCGCGTTCGAACGACAAGGGGAAAGGTCAGAGACATAACGTCTCCGTCTACACCTAACACGCACGTCTGCGTACTCAGAGCTCGCGCCAGTTGCAGGCGACATAAGATAACAGTAGGAGGGGGCAACCGAAACCCGTGAGAAACCAATGACATGTCCAAGTCGAGTCGCGCACAATGGTTCGGAGTTTTCCAGTCAAGGCAGTGGGTGAAATGTTTTTAAAATTTTGTTAGTTAGAAACGATCCCCTGATGGGGAAATGGGGGAAAAGGAAGAGAGCCGGAAGTGCGGAAAAACTCTATACACTAAGTGAACTGGGGAATCGGTTACAAATAAATCAATACTTGAGTAGTATGTGTCGGTTTCGCTGTTTTTAGACGCTTCTGTGGAGTAAATCATATTTTTCCTTGATGAGATTAGAAGTAATTGTTTTCTTCTATTGTCAGACGGGGAAGTATGCCTACGAAATTTCGGAGAGAACTTAGGGTTAAACTTTCTGAAGGTCTTGCTTCAAAACACGCGCCGAACCGACTACAAACAATGTGTTCCTTCTTTATCCTTATCGGGAAACATAAATTACTTTAGGTAATCTGCCGAAAGCAATGTGAAATGTGATGACACGCCTAGGCGTAGGTTTCACGCCAAAATGTTGACAGGCTCGGGCAGGGGGGAGGGAGAGAGGTCGACACTGAGGAAACCACCACCAACGTACATGAGCAAATACCTCACTATAATAAACGTGGCGCGCTTGGGTCTAACACAACGCGCTCCGAGACCTGGCTTTTAAGGCTGCAAACTGACGAGGTAGCCCGGTCGTTCTCGAGACTGATTCCAACCCAGCGGCTCCCAGGTCGAGAGTGGCACGCGTAGACGGGCTGCTTAGGCTGGTCAGCCACTGCGCTCGGGTCTACCTCCGATCGTCCTGAGACTGTCTTGCCACCTAGCCAGGTGGATAGAAGGTGGAGTGCGATAGATACTTCGCAAGTCGGACTCAGTATGGAATAAGTCACTGTCCTGCGCCCACCACTTCGTGGGGCAGACGGCGAACGTTGTCGTTCGCGACGAACGAACAGTCGAACACTGCCGCAGGCGGCTGAAAAGCTTTCCACCGAAAACCCAACTCGACACCAGACTACGTTGCATGCTTACTAGTTATTAGCAATAACCTTCCAGAAGGGCAATCTACTCTCACCGTATCCATCTCGGTGGTAATAAGCAACCAAAATAGCAAAAAGGGAAAAGAAGTCAGCAAGAAGCAGACAAGCCATGCAACATTCTGTTCGAGGTGGACACAATACCGGCTTTGGCAAAAACATAAGATTCAGTGTTCAGTAAGCCACATCGAGTCAAGGTTTTATGCGATGCAGTCCTCCTTGTAGCTATCCACTACCAACAGGAATAAAGGAAAAAGGACTGGGGCCTGTAGTTCAGGATATATATATATGTACATGAAAAGTTGACAGTAACAAACTGCCGACTCCTAAAAACACTCAGCAGTCGCAAGCGACGAGGTCCGCCGCGTGCACAGCATCCGCCACCGCCATCTCTCTCTCGCTCTCTTTTTCCTCACTTAAATTGCGTCAGTGGTGCGAAAATGTCACGAGGACCGGAGGTGGGCGTGGGCGCAGTGACCGACAAAGCTGTGCCGGGTCGGCTCGGATCTTACAGACGCGGAAATGCCATAAAGGCCATAGCGAGAAGGAGCTACCGCAGCCTGGCTCTCAGTTCTCCAATGATTCTAAAACACTCCCCCATGAGGACCGAGTTGTCTCGTCAGATGGTGACCTTACAAAACACGACACCGAGAACGTCTCAACTGATTCAGTCTCGTCAGATTTACTACGGTGACAGGGATAGTGATTTGCCGCGCATCCGTCGACTGTCCGAGCTCCTTAACCAACCGATGATGCATGAAAAAAACTAGGAACAAAGGAAAAAAATGATGCTCGTAATTCAGAAGGGATTAAAAGTTGACAGTTGCCAATTACTGGCCCCCTAAAACCACGGAACCTTGAGAGGTACGTGTTTCCCGGGCACTAAAACAAAGCTGTAGGTCACTGGTGGGAGAAAAGTCATTTTCCGCAACCTTTTCGGCCCATCGGCTGCTGCATTTCTGAGAAACGAGTCAGTCTCATGCGGATGATGTTTCCTGCGCCATCCTGATTGCAGGACAGAGGACGCATAATGCCGATTTTCTCCGGAGCTGCGGTTCTAGAGCCCTGGCGTAGAGAAGACAGGATTTGCTACTTCTGGCTTACTTGCCACCTTCAGCGACCGTAAAGGTCCACGACTCGAACGCGGACCGTGTTAGTTGTCGAAACTACCGCAAAACGTTCTATCCTCTAGTCACGTACTGGGATGAAGAACATTACGTCACATGGCAGCAACATTAAATGAGCACTAACTTATGCATATCGATTTCAGACTTGCTTGCTCCTTACACTCTTAATGTCTGCGAAAAAGCACAGCTTATGATTCGTTTACGGTTCTCCCTCAGTGACCTGGGTGGACGTTTGTTGGCCACAATGCAAGGGGGTGTACGAACACAGGTTCGTGAGGGACCTTCGAGGGCGTACAAGTGCTTGGGCGAGAGATAATTTCACACGCCGCTCAATGAATCGTCAAGTCGGACTACCGTCAACCTACGGAGTTGTTCGTCACCATTTGTCTAGGCAACACCGGCAAATATTTCGCTAGAAAGTCCAACCAAAAGTCAGTCAGAAGGAGCTAGACTGCACTCGATTTTGTCCATTTTCTTTTTCTGCCCAGAGCTTAGCTTCCTCTCTGATACATACCTATCCGCCTACAGAAGGGTCGTACACCGATCAGGTTACGGAACAAGCTGAAATGGCTATTCCAGTTGCACTTGTCTTTTTTGGTACTCCATCCTGCATAAATATCTACGTATAGTAGAATTTTTTTAAAACAGATCACAAAGGCTATTCTGCACAGTAGCAACAATGATATTACGCGACAAAAATAGTTGGCACTAAAACCCGCGCCTAACAAAGGACGATATCATTGGCTGGCATTTGCACCAGTATCCGGCTGCGATCGGTGGCGGTGTACACTACCATTTCATGCAAATTTTAAAAGTTGCGTCTAGAGCGCTGCGTCTGTTGACGTAGGAATCATCCGAGTGTGCTGCCTCGCAAAAATTACCGAATCATTCAGATCTGGGCGGCATCTTCTTCTTACGACTCGTTGGTAATCGTGCGTTTGGACTGCGGCGGGATTATTTTTGTGGCCGCCTCTATCATTTGCATGTCAGGCAGGCTATACATAACCCTCTTCTTATACAAAGAACCAGCACTGTGCCTAGGGTGAAGAGGTTTAGTGCGTAACGCAGGTGCCGGTCCGTGTGCAACTGATGTAACCGTTTCCACAATTGCCCATAAACAACTCCAGACGCATTCCTGATGCGGGGGAAGGTTTCATCGGGTGGCGGACTTGAGTGGTTGGAATTACCCTCCCGTTTTGAGATTCTGCGACATCACGCTCGACAAGTTCTGTCATCAGTGTGATGGGTTGTAGCTCAGTCTAGTAGGGTTTTAAGGAAGGTGCGTCAATGATAAGTGGGAGGAAACTGACATGTATAACGGTTTACCCGTCATTAGTTGTGCACAAATATCTGCCAATGGGAGCTTCATATAAACGCAGGTTCAGGATAGCAACTCAACTTCAAAAAAGACGGAGTCGAAATTGCCGAGGAGAAGTGCCGTCTGCGGTTAATCTTCTTAACGACAACAAATGCATCATCCACGTAGAGCGGTCATTATTGGGATTGCAACGGTGGAGAAACTGTAGCATTTAATCACATGACAGCAGCCTGAACCAAGCTATCCTGATTGCGAAATAAAATGTGCATTCCCGCCTTGCCTTGAGCCTGCAATCCACGAAATTGGTTGCATGGGGACTGCCGATCGATAATTGAGACTGGAGTGGCAGTTTCTGGCTTGATCAGTGTTATTAGTCAGGGATACCCAAATATTGGACTGCACACACGAGAGATTTCAACTCCGCGCCGAGTGATTGATCATCGAGCAAATCCCTCGCCTCTGTACTAGCGGGGTCGCGTCATGTCGACCGAGATCGGGAGCATTTAGTCGCACGAGTGGCGTACACTGGCCTACCGTGATTGCTGGATAGAAATGGGCGTTCCTACTTTGTCTTGGAGCTGTGAGCCCAAAGCTATCCAGGCAGGCGATCGCATGGTGGCTATCAATCGGTAACTTGGAAGTCTTTGTCGACGAGGACAGCAACACTGGAGTGGCCGTTTCAGGCTTCCTAGCTGTCATCAGTCACTCTCGGGACTAGAGTCTCATGTGAGAGGCCGCAGGTTGGTGCAGCACTGACTAATGACTGATGAAACGAACATTCTAATCTTGTCCTTGTTTTGTGTCGGTAAGTACTTCTACCTCACCGTAACACCTTCTTCCGCGAATTACTGCTTCTGCAGGAAGACCAGAGGAGAATGAACCCACGGGACTAATGGACTGCTGATTAGCTGCATTCAAACGCTCCTCCTCAAGGCCTCTGCCCACGTGAGTGCGATCAGCCAGAGTTCACACAAAGGAAGTCAAACCCGCGCCTTCTGTGCCACCTTAAAGGAATCAGGCGTGAACGAAGTTGACAGAGGAGAAGGAATAAAACCCGGTATCGGCAGTTGGCAACTCAGTCAAGTACCACACCAATTGTGTCCCAATGACAAGACTCCTTGAAATGTGTCTGGGCAGAAGAACTGATGCGACTTCAAGTGCCTCCCCCCTCCCCTCTTCTACTACACGTCTCAGTATAAAGCATGTGTCTCTCCTCTAACTGATCCAGACTTTACACAAGTATTACAACGTTGGTTTTGCTTCTCAACTTGAGTTTGGCTTCTGGGCCACGCACGAGGGGGTGTGAGTCAGGTTGGGCTAGAATAGAGTGGTCACCACGCGGCCTCAGGCGTTCGCTGACCGCCCGCGGAAGGGGAGAGACGATGCAATAGCAGTGTGCGCGAGATCGCCTGAATAAGAGAGAAAGCGAAGGCGACCTACCTGACCGAGGGTCTTCGCTTTCCTCTCCAAGAGAATGGAAACGAGCTTGCGGTGGGTGGTTTTGAGCGGAACAATGTGATTTTCTTGATACCTAGGGAGAGGAAGAGATAGGCTTTATTTTGGAAGTGGCATTCCAAGTTTTCAGCAAAGGCCTCCATTCACAGTGGATAAAAGTGGGCACGTAAAACTGATAACTCCAGAAGATCACAAACGATATTTAATGGCCGAAAACTGCAGTTGTCGACATCAGGAAGAATCGCCAGTGAATGGGTTGCAAAATTCGCGTCAGACGTTAGTTCCTTCAAAACGGTGCTAGTGTAGCGTACAAATGACCTCATAGATGTAGTTTAGATAAACAAAGAGGGGAAAAATCAGTATACGAAGAGTTAAATAGGTCAACAGATGTACATATAAGAGAGTAGAAGAAAATGGTGGTTCAATTTCAAAAGCCCCCCTTCCCCCTTGTAATGACGCACACAGGAAAAAATGCATGCTACAGTAGATTGCGAGAGAAAGTCGACGTCATCCACAAGTGCCGCCTTGAAAAACGGACACCGTCCGAGGACTTCTTTGGACAGGTATAAACGGATACGAATAACTCACCTAAATAACAGCGATGAAAAAAATCATCGGAGGTATAAATAAAATTAAAGATGTTTAGGAGATTGGTCACTGACAAGTCAAGGAGACTGGAATGCACATCTCTCGTGGGTTGGGAAGACCAGGGTTTTGATCATTGAACTACGAACGTGAGTTCTGGCGAGCGCGATTGCGACTTCTCAGAGCCACGTGGAATAGTGTTCATCAATCCACCCTGACTGCAGGACAGGATGTGGATTATTGAGTTTGGCTCGGACTGAAGGTCAACGCAGACGGTCACATGGTGATGAGTAATTAGTAATCGAGAAGTATGACAGAAAAGACTACAGGCGTTGGCGTGGTCGTTTCTGGCTCACTTGACATGATCCATCAACCAGGTCAAAGATACCCATGCTCAATCCGGATATCAGGGTGGCTTGGTAAGCGCTGGGGGAGGGGGGGAGGAGGAGATCCCCGTCAACAGAAGGGGACCGCGCTCCATGTGTTTCTGGCAAGGCATGACGTTGCTGATGCTCTGATGAGGGCGAAAGACCAGACCGTCGCATCAAAACTGGTAAAAGGCAGACCTGTTAAGCGGGGTAACTCTGGGATTGCTTGGCAGCCGAACTTGCACGAGCCCGCTGACTGAACTACACATGTCTGGCCTCCTGAAATTAAACGAAAGTCGAGAACCGAATCTGTTCAGCGTTGTTTTTCCTGAGGTCATCTCGTGGTTTCTCCGGGGTGTTAGATGTTTACGCTAGTCAAAAGTATGACCAAGAAGTCGCCCACCGCCGGTGAGTGGAGTGATGACGAAAAACTAGCACGATTTTAATGTCGGTGAGGGACATGGCTTCTTGCAGACGACGGACTGAGGATGGCAAACAGGGCCGAAATGGCCATTTTAATATCCCTCCCCCTCGACTGTAATTGTTCTTCGGTGCGTAGCTACCCGCGAGAATTCTAGAGCGGGGCTACAGGACAATGCGAGGGGTGCGTATAGCACCCTGCAATCAAGCCAGATCGAGAACCGGACTCCCGATCAGGTGATAATGTAAATGAGGGACAAAGGGGACGGACGGCAGTCGAAAAAAATAAAGTGACAACAAAGTCCCACCTGATGAGGTCTTCCAGGACACCACCCAGAGAAAGAGAAGTGCCATCAGTGAGGTTGGTGTCAAGGCCGCGACTGTGACAGAGGTGGGTAGCGGTGGCCAATAGGCGGTTAAACTCCTCCTCCATTTTCTCGTCCTTTTCTCGCGAAACCGGTCGGCCGGAGGGCGCGTAGAGGCTGCAGCCCGTATTCACCGGTATGAGGGCGAGAGAGGCCTGTTTGGCCAAAATGGTCAGGGGATTGGCGGCTGCAGAAAGCAAAGGAGAATTAATTTCCCAGCAGAAGAACACAGATTCACTTATTTTCGGATATAAGATAATACGGTGGGATGGGGGGAGGGCGGGGTGGAGCGGCAGACCCTGTTTCCATCAGCCAGTCAGACCTGCAGTAAAGGCATCGAAGGCTGAAAAGGTGGCGTGCAGAGAATCAAACAAACGGTTCAACCGCAGAATAGTTGTCCAGGTTCATCAGGCCCTCGTCTGTGCCTGTCAGGTCAGGTCGACCGTCGCGAGCAGTGACGCCCAGCGGGAGCGGCGCCTACCGCGCCCTCTCCTGCCTCGCTCATCCAGCTCCGTTGGCAAAACAGAAGTCGAGACGACCAAAGGTCGGCTCGGGTTTTAACGGATTTAAACACCTCGCGGACACGTGTCACGACCTGGTCCGCAGTGTACACGCACTGGGGCTTCCGTAAGAGAGATTTGAATTTCCCATGCATCTCAGTAAGGAACCGCCGCGGGGTGACCGCGTCCTTCAGTTAGTTCAAATTATTCCCATGAGGACCGAGTGATCTCGTCAGTAGGCAGCCTTCCAAGCCACGAGGCTTAGCGCGTAACAGTCCGAGCCTGTCAGTCAACTGTTGAGGGGCAGTGGCTGACAAAACCAAATGGTCCGTGACGTGCGCCAAGCCATCATAAAGTGCCTGGTGTGTGTGTGTGTGCTCATTTCTGTATAAATATACTCGACATTTCGACCGTCGATTTCGACTACCTTCGCCGTGTTCTGCACAGCAGGGCAAGGCCAACGACGGTGACATGCGCAGCACCTACCGAACTCCCTCCTCCCCCACCTGGGTCTGGTGTCATGATCAATTCAAGAAGACCGGAAGGGAGAGCGGCTTTAGATGGCCGGCACGGTGTGAACCCGCACCTAGGCGTACTCCCACACCCCTTGGTCCACAACAAACACCTGATCAGGATTTTAAAAGACAAAAAATATGGAGGGACAGCTCAGACTCAAATAGGCGCGGTGAGAACCTGCGACTGGGCCTATCATCACACTACGAATGTTGGCATTTGTCGGGGTGCGCATTGGCAATAACGTCGGCCATACTCTGGTCTAGCCCCCCGTGTTGATCCAACGCATCTATCGAGTGGCCCATTTACCAGCACATATTCAAGCAGAGGCAGGCATCCCACATTGAAAAATTCCGACTTTTAGCGGCATGAACAGACACCATCTGGATGTCTGAAGGTAAAATTTTCCACCGCTCTGGCGTCTTTGGCTCTTCAGTGAACCAAACTTTATGCATTAAAGGTCCAGCCAGTTCAAAATATGGTAAGATGTGGTTATGTAGCCCCACCTGGTGGACACAATACTGTTGGGGTTGAGGTTAGGGGTTATAGTTGGGGGTTAGGGCAACTATTTCTCAACCACTCAAAGGACAACCGTGCATTCCCAATAGGTTTTCTTTTGCATACAACTACTTGACCTCGTCGCCTGTGCGTTTCCCCGTCCCACGTGTAAAAACCCCGATTACCACCGGTTCCGTATTACAGGTGGCTGGAGTTTGTTTACTTCAGATGGGGCTACATAACCACATCTGGTCAAAAAGTGATTTGATGGAGTAAATGATAATTTCCCATTGCCTTATCGACCCAAAATATTCCCACGAGGACCGAGTGATCTCGTCAGTAGGCAACCTTCCAAGTCACGAGGCTTAGCGCGTAACAATCCGAGCCTGTCAGTTGGGAGCAGGGGCTGACAAGGCCAAATAGTCCGTCAAGTGCGCCAAGCCACCATAAGGTGCCTGGTGTGTGTGATCTCTTCTGTATGAACATATTCGACAGTTCGACCGTCGATTTCGACGATGTTCTGCACAGCAGGTTAAGGGCAACGACGGTGACTTGCGCAAAACACCTACCGCACTCCCTCCTCCCCCACCTGGGTCCGGTGTCATGATCAAGTCAAGAAGACCGGAAGGGGGAGAGGCTTCCGATGGCCTGCACAAACACCTGATCGGGGACGGCTCGGGCCCAAATAGGCACGGTGAGAACCTGCGACCGGGCCTACCATCACAGCCCCGAATGTTGGCGCAACAGAGTTAGTCACAGTCCTGTGGTTGGCCTATAGCATGCACGAAAGTTCAGGAGGCGGAAATTGGGTGCAACCCTCCCAACTGCAGGTGGCTTTGCGCTATATTCCCGGGGAGATAAGGGTTAAGACAAGGAAATAGGTATCTGTCTTAAGACTCAGCGCAGGGCTACCTGCATCAGACCGGGTCCCTATTCTGAGATTCAAACCGAAACTCTTCTGGCCAGTGGGTTCTACCATTAAGCCACGTGCCCAATGCTCTTTCGGTTACGATTTGGCATATTAACTGTGGTGACAGGGTCATTCACCCATCGGGAACACGCTCGTCCAGGGTCTTCTTGGAGCTCAGTCTGGAGCCCCCACAGACACTCGTATTGTCGGGACCGGCAAAGACAAGGGATGGTCATTTCTGGCCACGGTACGCATTGGCAATAACGTCTGCCAGACTCTGACCTAGCCCCCTCCCCCCTGTTGATCCAACGCATTTAACGAGTGGCCCGTTTACCAGCACACAGTCAAACAGCAGGAGGCTTCCTATATTGCAAAATTCTGACTTTTAGCGCCATGAATAGACACCATCTGGGTGTCTGAAAGTGACATTTTCAACCGCTCAGACATCCTGGGCTCTTTAGCGGGCCAAACTTTATGCCTGAAAGGCCCAATAGAACTCGGTTTTATTTCGATTGACACGTGGGTCTTGTGAACGCAGGAAATCTGTCGTGGAATCGGATCGCGGCAAGCGTGGGCAGAGTGTGGTCGCAAAGCAGGAGAAAGCGAAAGCCAACCGTGGCATTGTGCTCTTATCGGGCTCAGCTAATGTTTACAAAGCGTCCTGCTGACACTATCACAGCCTTGCCGATGGTCTTCACTGTGGGCCACTCATGGACGCGACCGACAGCAAACAGGCCGGTTCCTGTCCTGGCCGGGAGGGGGTAGTGAGCTACACAAGGATACCAAGGAGTTAGTGCACTGAAAACTTACACATTCCCGTTATTATCATTGCTCCCAAATCGGCGACATTCTCGCCCCTTCTAAGCGTCCAAATTCGGCCGCCCAGTCGGTCCTAAAAGTAGTGTGGAAGTAAACAGTTTTTAACCGGCTGACTTGGACTATTGAAAAACTGTCTGAACAAAAAAAGGTAATAAAAGACAAATTAAGAAGAAGGTTGAGGAGCTAGTAAAGACGGGACGGGGTTTGGGGTTTCTTGGGAGTTTTGACTACAGGCGGGCTCCAATTGCCCTGCTGCTACGGTAGTTCGACCGTCGCGAACGATGATGTCCACCGTGTGCCCCACGCAGTGGGCGCAGCATTGTGGACTTGCACGTGAACTAGTTTATAGTCAGGCAGACTTGTGCAGCATCTACCGCACTCTCTCCTCCCTCACCCACCAAGCTCCGGTGGTAAAACAATGCCAAAAGGACCGGAAGTGAGCACGTATGCATTGGCCGACAAGGCCCGTCTACACGTGCGACACACGTCATGCCAACCGCATGTGCCAGGCGTCTATAAGGGCGACTGGAGGCTCGCGTCGGTCTGGGGGGAGGGGGTACCATAAAAGTTGAGGAGGGTCGAGTTGGCAGCCAAGACTCCTAGCCCTGGGGTGTTACCAACAACGACAACGATACTGAAATGACTACTTATGGTAAATTTGCACCAACCAGTGATATTTCAGACCTAAGCTGCAGACTAAACATCTGAACCCGAGTCAGTTTCTATTCGCAATTCTGCATGGGGTGAAAGGCCTCAGCTTTAGCCAGAAAAACGGCAATTCCTGTTTCCTCCAGCAGGCAGGACAGGACACTGATTGGGATTAGTTAAAATTCGCTTGGTGTACATAAAAAGGGCAATTTAAATGTAGGTAAATCTTTGATCCAAAACAGTGACCTCCAAAGAGGCCTTGTCTTAGTAACTGTCTAAAAGGTTTTACAGTAGTTGATCGCAAGATCAGTCAGTAGGGGTAGAGAGCAACAATGAGGAAGGGAGAACGCTGCGGGTGTGTGTGTGCTGCTGATTGTTGTTGTTGGAGTTTTCTGACTTTTTTGTTCCGAAATTAAAGCCCTGCGGCACACACACACACACACACCTGTGTGGCTTAATGACTAATCTGTTTAGTTAAGACGAACATGAACAGTATGGTGCGATCAATTACTGCAAGCCCTCTAGGACAGTCACTAAGGCGAGAAATCAAGAAAGGCGAGAAAAATTCCTCAACTGGGATATAATGGCACGGATGGGGAAATATGTGCAGCCAAACCTCCCAAGTTTGTGCGCCACGTTGGCTGAACGCGTTTCCGATCTTTTATCGTCGGCCAGTAAAAGTACTCTGGCTGATAAACTATGCATAATGTCAAGTCGCTCTGTCGAGACAGTGCGTACAGTTGTGTTGGCTACTACCGCTCCAAAAATAATTGATTTAGGTCCCTAATGCGGGGGAATAATTCCTGTATTATGTACTGAATAAGAGTGTAAAGTGAAGACCCCAAGAAGCGGAGAGGACGATAGACGATTCAGGGGGGGGAGAGCATGTCGGCATTCAATTGACGCGTGAGTGAGGTTAACGGACTGGTATGAGGGTGGGGGCACATGTATTTCTTGTAGACGGCGTTTCAAAGGTTACCAAAGGTCGCATACGATGGAAATACTTAAATTCTTGAGATCAGGGGTAGACAGGGAGGAATAAAAGCCCACACCTGAATTAAGCTGGAAATGTGATAAAAGAAATACGTTTGATCCTGTTGGCAGGTTTTGAGAATCCTGTTATTACCAAAAGGCAGACAGCTGAGTCAACAAACGGTGTACTAAAATAAGTGTTGGACATTCAGCCTCCTACCATGTTGCATTGACCTTTATCGACTTTGGCTGGTGGGTTAAAAACGCTACACTTAGATTACTGAAGTCATACACCCTGTCGAGTTTTGGTTTACGGGGAAAATAGATGAGATCTGCAGATAGAAGTTAACAGGCCATAGATAAGGAAAACGGTGGGTAGTTAAATACGCTGACAGAAAGAGGGAGCCTCCTTGGAACTGCAAAAAGTGATTCACAAGAATCAAACAAAGCCGACGGAGTGCCGTCTTTTTTCCCACTTTCCCGTCGAGTTACAGCAAAAAAAGTATTTGTTGAATTAAGGCGCTGTTGGAAAGAAGGATGCACACATCCTTTTGAATATATTATTAGGAATACATATTAAACGACGTGCTTAGTCACTGACCGACCTATCAACAAAAATACTTTTTATCACTGTGACGTCCTTATCGGCGAAAGCGAATAAAATCCTCTTTGAGTTAGTCAACTGCACCTCAAGCAGTGCTGTTTTATTCACCCAATTATTTGCATCGACAGGCCTTTTGTGCTTTTAAAGCCCGAGTTTGCGCATTTGACACAACTTTTGGCGTTTTCGGGATTCCTGTTTTTCTCAAAATTGGTTATTTCTAAACAAGACAACACTAATTTAAATATTTCTTTTATGCTTTCGTTTCGGTTTAAGTCGTTCACTATTAATTTGTGGTTTCGGTCGATACGTCTGGGTCGGTTTTCGAGTGATTAAAGATGTTTCGCAAATCTAGGCACAAATTATGTGTTATATCACGCACTATGCGTCCAACAAGGAAAGATGTTGGCTACGTAGCCTTTTCTTCTAGATTGAGGATGTTGGCTGATACCTCATACGCCATTCATCATCGGCTCTGAAATATGGCGAGTTGTAGATGCAAATAAAAAAAGTCCCGACATGACAATCCAACGGTCTTTCTTCATTTAGTCGTGGGACAGATAATTTTGGTTAACACGAGCTAATAAAAGCATCATCTACGAACTATTTGCACAGGTTCTTGCAATAAACGGAGTCTTCGCACTAGCAGTTCGTGTTACGACAATGAAATTTCCGAAAATTCTGTCTATCTCACATCAGGGAAGAGGTTTATTACTAAAATTGAAAAGACCTCCAGATACAACATGCGCCCTTTGATTGAACTGTTTTGGTGATGGTTGCTGCTCTAAGAAACTCCAGTATTCACCGGCCCTCGACATAGCTGGCCACCATAGGCTGTCAGTGAACGATCTCATGAGATGTCAACCGAAATTCTGAAATGCGCTTCCAACTAGAAAGGACTGCTTAGGTGGGGTTGTAATATTGCAGCATAAGCCCAGACACGTCGGGATGTTGTCTTTTGAATGCACGTCTTTTCGGCCGTCTACAAAAACTCCACTCGGTAAAAAGTGACTACTTAGATGGTATGCATTTTCCCATTTAGTTTTGATGCCATTACAAATGCAACAATATTTTACGGAAAACATGTAAAAAAATATTATTTTCTGTACTCACTTGGCAGAAAATCAGCTCCTTAAGATTTGTACTCAAAGAAAGGATATATTCAGGTTTTCAAAAAGTTATTCAACTCGCGAATAATTTTAAGCACGGTCTGCCGTTGTATTTCCGTCAGGGTTTTCAGTCTACACGGTGTATACTTTCCGTGTAAGGGAAATCATGCATTCCTTTGGGTCATTACAATGGATGTTGTATGCTTCATAAGAAACATTAGTGAACGGGTGGATACGATGCTTTTTGAATGGGCACTGCACGGTCGTAAAAAATGGCACAAGAAACGTTTTTGAAAAAACGAAAGACACCCATTATTTGAGTATAAAATTTAATGAAGACGCGATTTTCCAACAAATAAGCACGAAAAAGAATATTTTGGTGTTTGTTTTCCATGAAAATTATTTGAATTTAAAGGGCATCTAAAGTTGGTGGGGAAATGCATACTTCCTAAGTAGCCACTGTGTAACGAGTGGAGTTTTTGCAGCCAGGCGAAAAGAATTGCATTCAAAAGACATAGTGACTCAACTGTGAAAACCTCGGCGCCTCGGTGGGATTCGAAATCATGCAGTAAGGGGAAGGCTTTAGTACAGCCAACGCTCTAACCCCTTGAGCTACGAGGCCTTGCCCGATGACGCGATGAATTATTCAAAATCTGCCAAAACATCTATGAATTACGTAAGCCTGGTGGTCATCTGGTGGATTCTAGGTGAATTGCTTAGGAAATCCTGCCTGGGCAGTCAACTTACTGTATCAGATTTGGTGGATTCCAGACGTTACAGCAGGTTGGGCGGGTAACTTGACCCAAATGTGATTAAACTCGCGTCGTCCGGCGGGGCCTCGTAGCTCAAGTGGTTTGAGCGTTGGCTGTACTAAAGCCTTCCCCTTACTGCGTGGATTCGAATCCCACCGAGGCGCCGGGTGATTCACAGTTGGGTCAATATGAATTATCGTGGTATTATTCCGCCCGACAATCAGTAATGCAGTCTCACCTAAATACTCCTCCCTAATCGGAAACGCATTTCCGAATTTCGATTAATACTTTAGAAGATCGGCCATTGACTGAACGGGAGTGCTACGTGTCGAAAACGCCTCCCGGCGTCGATATTCAGGAGCATATATACTTAAACAGATCTAAATGCTGTGTCACCAAAGGGAGTAAACCGAATACCTGATGGCTCTAAGCAAAAAACGGCAAAAACCCACATGGACCTTCGGGATCCTTTTAGCGAAAACTGTCATTACATGTAAGCGGTACGGCAAATCAGTCTTGTCCTGATTGGTGCACGTACTATTAGCTGAACTGTTGCTTACATCAGGCAGTACTGGAGAAGAGGAAGTTAAATCACTGTTGGGCGCGGTAATATGTGACGAATACAGCCATCGTCAACCCCTCACAGCACGGGCCAGCCTGAATACTGTGAATACGGGAAACAATTGTCTACTTCAACTTTTCTTGGCGGAGAACCGACACGAGAAGCCTTTATTCAATATACGTCATTGAACAACCTGATACCACATGAGTTCCGTTTATTTCAGAGTCTTATAGCAGCTACACTTTATATAAAGGCAGGTTTTTTGAAGTGAGAACAATCACAATGCTCTGAATTTTTTATTCAAATCTCTAGATGTTATTAAAGCTAACGACATGCCGCCATTAATGTTTGATTTAGACGGAAAAGAAATAGACGGCCCCGCTTTATCTAATACCTGTATTGAAGTTTGCATAAATAACTTCTCCCCTCCTGGTAACGTGTGGCTCTGACTTGTGTCGGAGGTTGGCTTGCTAGGTCTGGCAATATCTGGTGATTAATTTTAGGGACTTAGTGACTACAAGGGACCGCTTTGGGACGAAGACATCGATAACGCAGCCTTTGGGGCTGGTGCCTTTTAACTTTTTCAATTGTGGCCCAAAACACATGTCCTGGCTTTGTTAACGAATAGTAACTTCCGGTCAAAGCGGGTTTTTTGGTCGCCAAAATACCACTTACGTAGTATTACCGCCTTCGGAATTTGCAATCGACAAGTTATAGCTTCAAAAACCCGGATTCGGGCAGGCTAAAAACCTTTTGTCCCAAATGCTGGCAGACATAAGGCATGTTTTAGTAAGTTGGTTTTCTAAATTTCAGTACCCCGACCAAAAGGAAGCAGCCTCAGAAATCGCTAAGACTTGCGGTGGAAGGGAGATATCAGAAAATGACTGAACGCACCCGAGACTCCAGAATGGTCACTTTTGCGCCAAAGTAGGTGAGCTGCCTGGCGGCCATGAGGCCCGCAGCTCCGGCTCCGCAAACGATGACCCTAAAAGGAGGACCGGCAGAGCTGGCAGTGGCACAGGTCGTTTGTTTCTCGGGACTCATAGTGAGGCTGCGACGAGCAGACGCCGGTGTGCCGGTTCTGCGTAGGGGAGATAGAGAGGAGTCGGCTGCACCGGTAATCCCAACTCCAAATTTGTTACCTGGTGTGAATCGTGTGAGCGGAGGCGAGAGAAGCTTAAATATGCCGTAGTTGATGTAGCCAAACCTGTGTGTATGAGGGTAACAGAAAAGAGCCTTCATTCAGAGGAGATTGTAAAGCATGAAATTGGGGAAGGTTGCCTTCCCGAAAGTGTTTCATGGTTGTGGCGATTTACCGTACCGCTTAGCTTAGTGGTCCTTCGGAATTATATTAAGTCAACGTGAAAATTGGATAATCCTATGCAAAAGATCGCTTGCATACAGTATAATAAATAACTATAATTACAAGACAAGGAGAAGAGATGGGAGGAGAGGAGGGGCATTTTAATTTTCGAAAAGCTGTGATAGTGGGAATTCTGACAGAAGTTTTCATTTTAAAATTTGGACGAGACCTTAAACAATCGGTATGAATGTTCACCAAAGTTATCATAGAGAATCCACAAACTGAGGACAAATCGGAATCGGTTGTGTAATAGTCGAAAACGAGGATGAGCCGGAGACGAAGTTAAGAGCGTCGAAGCAAAAATATGCCAAATACATATTTGACTAGTTAGACCGGAAATTATCGACTAGTGAAGGTGTCCGGATCTTAGTGCGCGACGGAATATTTCAAGCAGTGGATGGTCAAGGAAAAACGGGGAATGTTTGCGGACCACCATTTTGGTTTCTTGATCCTATCCTGCCAAGTGGTAGGGATGGGCGCCATGACAAATTTGGTTCAGGTGAACGTTACTCATAAATATCAAGAGTTTCTTGATTTTTGTAAAAATATCCCTGATTTTGTAGGATGAGAAAGTTATATGGGGGAAAAGGGACATGCCTTTCCAGAAATAGGACAGCCAGGTAGGCAAGGCGTTCTAAATTTAAACGGGATGTTTGAGTCGACCAAGGAGACCAGTTGGCGGGCGGAGTAAATGAACGGGTTCCGTTTGTTGGAGCCGCTGTTCCCACAGAAACCGTCGATGCGGATTTGGTCAAGAGAGGCGCAGTCAATCCGGCTTCATACATTACACGCATACCATCTGTGTTCAGGCTTGTAACCAAGAAGCCCACAAGTCGGTCAGATGTGACCTGCGTAGTCGGGTCTTCGACCCACAGAAGACACTAAATAACGAAAATAAGATTCGTAAGCATACTTTTACAATTGTCAGTGCATTGTTTGCATAGCTAAAAGGCATGTCCTACCGCGGAGTTTCGAGCAACCAAAAAAGCTTCTCGGAGAGGGCGACTGGCTGTCTGGAGAAAAGGGAAGAGTGCAAACTCCTCAGTTGTGATCTGCTTGGCCGAGAGACGACAGTCCTCTGCAGCTCTCTCGGCTGGAAGTGCAGACGATCTTGTCTCTCCTGGCGCCAGTGCCTCGTCCTCAGTATCACTGCTCTCACTCTCGGCGTCGTCGACGTCAATTTCGCCCTCAGTAAGGCGCCTGCAAGGAGGCCGGACTTCTTCCTCAGTTTCATCTTCTGCGGCGGAAGCCGGAGTTGTCTTTTCCTCTTCTACCTTTGACGATTCCTCTGGCCTTCTAGCCTGGTCGTCGATATCTTCCATTGGATCACTACTCGACTCAACGTTGGCAGTTTGGGGAATTCCCTTCGTCTAGAAACAGGGTTTTCAGCAGAAACACAGACGTTACTGACCAAAATTGCAAAAAAAGAATAAGCTAAGAGTATTTTTGGTGCAAAGTCGAGCGGTAGAAAACTGGCCGGAACGGTGACATAGGGTATAATTTGGCTGTACTTTGGAGCCCATTAAATTTGCGCTAGGCCAATGAAAACAAAGAGGAAGTAATATAAGATAATCATGGCTACCAACGCAGGAGCGGTAGGTGTTTCGTCGTCCAATGTTTATAGGCTGAAAGTGTGAATCCCATCAAAAAAGTTAATTAGTCAGTGAATAGCGCTAAACTCCTAAGGATGAAATTATTTCCGGAATACACACCTAGTGTTCTGAGAGCCATCTGAAATATGCTGCATTGCAGACCCTCAGCACTTCTCCCCTGCACTTATTTGAGAAGATCAAACTCAATTTGTCCTCCATAGACTGTTTTAACCTCCAAAAAAGGCACCAAAACCCGAAACCAGTGTAATAAAAACTTCATTGGATCAGGAGTGTGGCAAGACACTAAAGTATTAATTTCTACTGAGCTAAACCGATGAGAGGTAGTGTGCAGGTCACGAGAACGCCAAGACGATTCTTACAAGATATCAAAGACGACTCCATTTAACTGATTCTGATAAGAGGTCAAGATACGTTGGTGTATGAAAACACTCAGTGTGAAAAAAAATCTCCTCAAATTGTGCTAATGAGATTTTACATGAAGACATTTCTCATTTATGCAATAAGTAATTCCAGAGATCGATAGAAGACCATTTTGTAAGTTGAAGTTATCACATTTTGAAAGTGCTTAGGATCCAAAGGGCTGTTTTGTTATAATACGGCTTTAAGGGGGCAGATTAACTGGATGAAAAACAGAAGCAAACTGGAAACGTAACTAGAGAACAGCTCACTTCAGAATCTCCATACTGGTTTGTTGTCGAGTCCGCTGTAGAAGAAGCGAAAATGCCAGGTTTTCGCCCACGTTTAGACTTTCCTCGCGGCATTCTCTCGATGACTTAAAGCCAATGGCGAGGATGAAAAGACCTTGAGGTAGTTGTAAAGTTGAAATCGCGGAAAGAGTGTAAAGGAGTAAAACAACGTTAATAAGACTAAACTGCGTTGCTTTTTGGGGACTTAGCATACGGACAATGGCCATTTTATTCTCTGTTGCTAGCATCTGGTTATGCCTCTCAGTATGACTATCGTAAGGCTTCGGTTTAAAGGGTTAGGACGGAGTTAAGCGAGCGTTAACCACCAAGGGATAGGTGACAAATTATAATTTCTACCCTTGCGAAGGTGGCCATAAATGACATTTAAACGAAATATAGGAGCTGACCGCATGTAAAACAGTAAACGGGAAGAAAAATCCGACAATTTCGCGTGTGTATTTGCGAAGGCAATTTGCCTGAAGGCATTTAACAACGCATATCAGACGTGCTCCACTGTTACTTTTCATGAAGTCTCCGTCTCAGTCCTGAATGTCACTGCTAGACCTTACGCAGGATAAAAAATGCCGAGATGGACGCTCTGGAAGTGCTGAACATTTACTTCACTGAGTGCGCGTAATTACAAGCGTAACAACTGCGGATGTCACTCAGTCAGTGTATTTGAGGGAAATAGGCTTACGCCTTTAAACTCCCTATTTGTACATAAAAAATCGATAAACAAGCAAAAATGTGAAGAAATTACAACATTAAGTGAATGCATACATTGATTCACATATGTCACTAGTCACATGGTTACAAAGTCGCATAGTCCGCTTGTTGCTGCAGCATATATCTGTCAAGGCGACATTTAAATGTCTCCACAGATTGAGACATAACAACCGTCTCTGGCAGGTTATTCCACGGTTCCAGGACACGGTTGGGGAAGAAATATTTTCTCACATTCAGTCTACCCTGTGGCACACGTAGCTTGAAGGGATGTCCCCGGATGTGAGTTGTGGTGGCGAGTTGGAAAAAGTCATCGCACCGAAGGGCACAATCCAAGCCGCGCACGATACGGAAAGTTTGCATCATGTCTCCGCGCAACTTCCTATAACTCAGAGGATAGAGATTAAGGTAAGTTAAGCGGATCTCGTATGACAGTGCACTTTGACCTCTTACTAATTTTGTTGCTCGCCTCTGCACCCTTTTGAGCAGATCGTAATCCTGGTGCGTCCACGGTCTCCAGGCCTGAATTGCATATTCGAGATGGGGCCTTATAAACGTGCCGAAGACTTTGGTGAAGCAGTCTTCATCGAAAACTACGAATGCCCGCTTGATGGCATATAGAATTGACGTTGCGGCCTTGGCCGCCTTAGAGCATTGTGTAGAAGGTTTTAGGCTGTCTGCAACCCAAACTCCGAGATCTTTCTGAGTTTCTGCTTCTCGGAGTGGCATTCCGTTCAGATGGTATTGCCGCGTACTAGGGCTCTGATTTCCGAGGCGCAGAATGGTGCATTTGTTCCAATTGAAGGACAAGAGCCATCTACGGGACCACTCGTCCAATCGACAAAGATTTTCTTGGAAGTTGGTCTCATCGGCAGCATTCTGGATGACTTTCCAGATTTTTATGTCATCTTTACACAGTATATTTCGATTTCACTAAGGCTTTTGATCGTGTTGACCATGCTCTTCTTCTCTTAAAACTGTCCTCTTTCGGAATAGGTGGCAAACTTTTGAATTTTATATCCTCTTATTTGGGCACTCGCACACAACGAGTTAAGATTTCCAATACCATCTCCAACCCCACACGTGTGAGGAGTGGAGTCATGCAGGGTAGTGTACTCGGCCCGCTTTTATTTTGCCTTTTCGTTAATGATGTACCCGATTTATTTCAGAATGGTAAGCCTTTCATGTATGCCGATGATCTTAAAGTTGCATATCGATATAGGCCGGCAGATCATGACATCGTGCTTGAGCTCCTAAAGAGCGATCTACAGGCTTTCGCCCAGTGGTGCCGCACATGGCGCCTTTCTCTTTCTTGGCATAAGTGCTCAGTCATGGTGGTTGGCGACGACCGCCAACCTCAACTAAGTATTGAAGGTCACGCAATAAATGTGCCAGGGGTTATAAAGGATTTGGGCGTATCATACTCCAAGAGTCTTAATCTTTCGGAGCACTGCGCCTTGATAGTCTCCAAAGCACGTAGAACGGCCGGGTTTATCCTCCGAAATTTTAAAACTAGGGACATTAGAATGCGCCTTTTAAATATGTACGGTAGACCTGGTCTGGAATACTGTTCGTTTTAATTTAGCCTCATGCGTGCTACTGAGCGGAAGAAAATAGAATCCGTTCAACACTTTTTTACCAAGAGAATTTTAACACCGGAACACCGACATTTGTATTACCAAGAACGTTGCCGGCTTACAGGCCTCGATCCTTTATGGTTCCGTAGATTACAAAAGGGACTATTTTTGCTATTTAAACTCTTATATAATCACACATTTAACCCACTCACCTCTTTAAGACATCATATCCACCCACGACGTAACAGTCACCGTGGGGTCTTCTTATTTCTGCCTCTCGCACGTACTGTTCAATATCGTCGGTTCTTTTCTGTAAATGAAATTGCTATTTGGAATAAACTACCCATGAGTGTGAAAACTCTGCAAAATTTTCCTTTATTTAAGAGAACTATTACTCGATTTTTGCATTCAGAAAAGCTCCCACAAATTTTGGGTGCTGAATCTACTGATCGACTGTACCGTAGCGATGGCGTTTGTGGTCTCTGAACACTATGGCCGGTCTCACCAGCTGTTCCCCAACGCCTCTACTTTGACTATCCCCAACTTCATGAAAGGAATTTGACGTCCGATGATCTCCGATACCGTGCAACCTCCCCCCTTCTTGACGGTCGATATTCGCCCACCGCCGGCAGTTTTTTCTCCTGAGCCCTCCAAATCACAAAAACCAACATAAACTATATTTTTATCCCTTAAGATCAGGAGTTTTTTTCATTGGCGGTCGGATTTATGTTTAATCGCTCCCCTTGACAATGCCTGTAAACTGGCATTAAATACAAATTTATTTATTATTTATTTATTTATAAACATGGCGCAATCACAGTCCAACCCATCTACGCAATCATTGATGAACAAGAGAAAGAGAGTTGGTCCGAGCACCGAGCCTTGTGGGACCCCACTCTCTATGAATGTGAACCTTGATTGCGGAACACTGTCAAACGCCTTCCGAAAATCAATATAGGCAACATGCACGGTGTATTTAGGAATCTGTCATAACGTGTATGGCGATCGATTTAGATTTGTTTCCCCACTTTACGGACAAATTCGCTGTAACCTACAATGATTATTTCGCATTGTCGGCGAGATGGCTAAGAGTCTGGACCTATATATGGGGTAACTAGCCCGAGGCGGTTGTAATTTCAGCCTGTGGAGATATTCCAACATCGATTTGACAGGCACATGATGCGGCTACTACTTAGTCGTAATAGCCAATTAACTAGTACCTAAGCCTGTTTTCACTTCACGCTGCAATTTCTGCACATCATTGCTAGTTCTTCCGGTTTCTGTGCGACGAATGGGGTATGATGATGTCCAGTTGTGGTTTCATGTGATGGTCGTAGTAGGCCGCTAACTTGTTAGTGGGTGCTGACTACGCCTGCCATCCAGCAACTAACACCAAGCTCTTACCCGTGGCTCCTCGAAACTAGGCTCTGTCTAACGGCCACACCTCGGCAACCGCCTCGAACGGCAGGCTAAGCCGGGTGAGGGTACCCGGTAACTCTGCTCCTCTACCCCCCCCCCCACCCTTCCATTTCCCAACCCCCTACTCCCCTTCACTCACCCTCCTCCCACCCTTCCACTCACACTTCCCATCCTTCTCCCCCTCCCTAGCCCTATTCTTTCCACTCAACGCAATTCCCCCACGGCCGAAAAGTCCCACGGCGAGGGCGCCATGCAATCACGTAGGCGGCGCAAGCCAATCGGATCGGTCTCTCATCAAACTGATACGTGATCCGTATTGGTGTTCGGCAGCGGTCTGGGGTGACTAAGCAGCCCTATTTGGGGAGAGTCCCACCTACCCCATGAGCGGGAGGGGCTTTAAAATGTGCCATTGACAAATGTTGGGTTCACAGCACCTTAGCGCAGGCCGTGGTTCGCAGATGCAAAATACGTGGACGAAACCGTCAAACACGAAATAACAATCTCTTTTCCCCTCTCTCCTTCATAGGCTGTTGGAGTGAGTCCGCTCACTCTGCCAGCCTGGAGTGTTCGTTGGCTTTTTAGACAATGCGAGGTGCAACCGACCGATACGGAGGATGGCACTAGTCTCTCGGAACTGGAGCGCTACAGGGCTGACATCGCTGTACATAGCGAGACTCGATTATCCGAACACTGCCACCTGGAGGAGTTGGGTGCCGGCTACACCTTCTACAGGAGCGGTCGTCCCAGGGCAAAGTGACTAGACGTGGGCGTTGCCTTTGCCATCCGGAGCGACATCGCGGGACGACTGCCCTGTCTCCCTCAGAGAATCAATGATCGCCTGATGAGTCCTCGCCTGCCTCTCCTGGGAGGTAAATTCGTCACCATCACCAGCACCCACGCCCTAAAAATGACCTCCTCAGACGAGGCGAAGACCAAGTTTGACGAAGAACTGCACGCCGTACCGGCGTCTGTGCCGAAGGCGTAAAAACTGGTCGTCCTCGGTGACTTCAATATCCGCAATGGGACAGACTGCGCTGACCGGAGAAAAGTGTTGGGTCTTCACGGAATCGCCCACTGCAACGGCAGTGGCCTCCTGCTGCGAACCTGCGCTGAACACGGCCTCCTCCTAACCAACGCATTCTTCCACCCGCCGATGCGGAAGAAGACCACTTGGATGTATCCTCGATTGCGGCGCTGGCAGCTTCTAGACCACGTTCTCGTCCGACGGCGAGGTCGGGAGGACGTGATGATGACCAAGACGATCTGCGGCGCCGAGGACTGGACAGACCACCGTCTCGTCATCTCAAAAATTAGACTCCGTCCGCATGACCGCAGGAGATTATAAGGTAAGCTACCACCAGATAGGTTAAGTACCGCCTTGTTGTATTTGTTTGCTCACCGTTTTCATCCTAGCAATTAACTAACTCAGTGGCTGAAAGGCCTGCCAGCGTCAGACGAAAGCGTCTCCGTGAAGACTCGGTGGTGCTAACTACGGGACGACGTTCAGTAAAACGCCCTGGGTGTCTTTGGCCGCGCACGCCATCAGTGCTAGGAATTTTTCGACGACGACGACGTAGCCTTCAGTAACCTGGTCACCGTGAAGAACAGGCTGCGCAGAACCTACCGCAACCGTCCAACTGACGCGAATCAAACGGCCTTCTACTAAGGTCGCGACTTGCGCAACAACGGTTGCGAGAAATACAGGACGCCTGGATGGCTCGCAAGGCCGGGAAGATCCGCTGGTATGTCGATCGCAACGAATAAAAGAACTTTTCCATAGTGAGCAGGACGATCTATGGCCCCCAACCGAGAGAACCGTGCCGCTTATCAGCTCCAATGATTCAACGCTTCTGGCGTATGAGTCGCAGATTCTGAAGCGCTGGGCAGAGAACTTTAGAAATGTTTTCAACTGTCCCTTGGCAATCTTTGACGCCGCCATTGACCAACTCCCCCATGCGGAAACCAGCGTCGACCCGCATTTCCCTCTCTCCCTTCCCGGAGACCACCCGTGCTGTGAAACAACCCTACAACGGGGAAATATCCAGCTCCGATGCAATCCCAGCCTAAATCTACAAACACGACGGCAACCGCCTAACGGACCAAATCCCGACGCTATTTCAGGTGTTTCGGTACAGTAGACAAGTTCCTCGGGATTTCAAGGCCGCAAACATCGCTCACCTCTACAACCGTAAAGGGAACCGGCAACTCTGCGAGAACCACAGAGGCATCTGATTAGTCAACTTCGTCGTGAGGGCCTTCGCCCACATCCCCTCAATGGTTTTAATGGTCATAAAGAACAATGACTTCTGCCGGAAAGCCAATGCAGTTTCTTACGGCACCGAAGACATCACCAGCATGGTGTTTGTCGTACGCCAGCTACAAAAAGCGCCAATAGATGCAAACTCACCTCGACACTACATTTTTGGACATGCTGAAATCCTTAGATACGGTAAATCGCGACGGAATGGGAAAATTGAGCAGAAATTCGACCGTTCTGAACTACTGACGCACATGGTACGTCAGCGCGCCGACGGGATGATGGCGTGCGTCACAGACAACGGGGAGGTCTCAGAGGCATTTGCAGTTTTAGTTTATTTTGTAATGTTAATAGGTAAGGTCTTTGAAAACCTTACTGATTACAGGCCAGTGCGTTAGAGGCAACTGAACAAGGGCAGTGAAGACTGTTGGTATTAAAGTAGCACTTCCTCTATCTAAGCAGTATTATTTTAAAAGAGAAACTTTCTAGGGTTCGTGGGGTACGTAGCACATTTCAAGACCGTCGAGAGAAAACAAGATACATAAATAATCATCCAGGCGTTTCCTGAAGAGCTGCTGGGGCGTCTCATCCATGACTGACTGAGGGATATCGTTAAATTTCTCCACTATCCCGTGCGTGAAAAATTCAGAACGAAGATTCAGCCTGGATATTTTTGTCTGCAGCATCATCGGATGGCCCCGAAGATTGGCAAAAGATGCCGCTGAGACATGTCCGCAAAGATCAGTCCATGCTCAAGGCTATGCGTTATCTTGTAAACCAGGATAAGACCACCCCTTTGCTGTCTGTAACACAGTGGGAATAAATGAAGACAGTTCAGGCTTTCTCTGTGTGAGTGGCTTTTTAAAACGTTCACCAGCTTTGTTGCATGACGTTGTATTCTTTCGAGACATGTTTGGTCCTTTGCTAGTCACGGCCGCCACACTTGCAGGCAATATTCCACACGAGGCCGAACAATGATGCCGTAAACTCTCCCAAAAAGATCCTTGCCAAAGGTTACGAACGCCATTTTGAACACATGGAGTGCTCCCATGGCGTTTTTTGTAGCCTTGATGCACTGAAGTGCTGGTTTCATGTTTCTCTGTATCCAACAACCGATATACTTCTACGAAGATTCTGCGGGAACTGTTATGTTGTTCAGGTGATATACCATCATACTATCATTTGAATGACAGTTGGTTGGACGGAGATGAAGGACGGCAAACTTATCCACAATGAAACCCAGAAACCATCTCCCGGACCACTTTTTACAGCCGGTGGAGGTTATTTTTAAGAGCTTTATGGCCATCTTGGCCCTTAAAGATTTTTCAGAACTTCATGTCATCGGCATACACTGCTTTACTGTATTCGAGCTTGTTTTACTGAGTACCCTTGGGGGTTCTTTCATAGAGTAAGGAGCCGAGAACTGGTCCTTGAGGCACCATACTAGTCGCGTTCACCCAGTCTGCCCTATAATCTCTGATACAGACATGATGTTTTCGATTTGCCAAAAACACTCTTGTCTAACCCAGAAGATTTCCTCGGATGACGAGAGCGCTCAGTTCATGGTGATGGCATTGGTGCGGGACAGTGTCGAATGCTTTTTAAAATCAGTATACACGACATCAACCTCCAAACCCTCCTCTAAAGCCCTGGTCCAGATCTCCAGACAAGTTAGCAGATTTGAGAGACAGGGACGTTCTCTTCTGGAGCGTTGCTAGAGGTTCTGTAAGATCTTATTTTCTTCACAAAACTGTTTTGTTGCACTCTTTACATAACTTCCATCGTTTTGCAAGCTGATAGGCCTGAAGCTGCTTGCTGTCATCCTGCTACCCCCTTTATGTAGGGGAACGAGGTTGGCTGTCACCCAATGCGAGTGCAGTCTCCCTGTTCTCATTGACAGCTCAAAGAGAGTTAAAAGAAACTTTGCCAGCTCCGTTGATGGTCCTTTACGTATCAGTCTTGGAATCCCGCCGTGTCGAGGAGACTTATCTGGCTTTAATTGCACTTTCTATGGGCCTTCAACTAATAAGTTTCCGAGATTGTACTTAAGACACGCAATTTTGTCCTTATGTCTTCTCCTACTGCTGATGAGCCCATAAGACTTCTTGAGATATATAATGGATTCTGTCGTCAGCCTGCACTCGAAAGAGGTTGTAACAACCCGTATTTTTGTGCGGCATTCATTGCGCTGCCCTCTATATTCGGCGAATGTAATGGGGTCCTGAAGATGCAAGAGCCTTTCCCACAGCCTCTGGTAAAAACAATTTGTCCACATAAAGCGAGTAGAGTTTGTGCATTCATTTCCCTTAATGAAAACGAGATCAAAACAGTTAGATCGTTGTCCTCCTTTCAGTCTCGTCCCAGATTTTGTGTTGAATAAGGTATTTATCCAGAGAGAGTTTTAGTAGCCTGTGGTCGAATGACGTGGAGGGGACAATTGATACGATAATTTTCCAGTCTATTTGTGGGGCGTTAAATTCCCCCAGAAGTAGTAAGTTCTCTTGCTTACAGAACAACTCCATTGTGCTTAGCAGTCCCATATCGTCGCTTTAATGCAAGCTAGGAGGACGATAGACATTTCACAGGTTATTTATCGGCAATTGTTTAATACTAATCTTGCATGAAATCATTTCAAAACGTCGCGATATCACATCGGATATTTCTCGATTACAGCAAGAAATCTCATTTGATACATAAATCGCCACACCCCTCTCCTACGATGAAATCTGTCACAACGGGACACTTGATAGCCATCAATACTGACTTCACAGCCACTAATTTCGTCAGTCAACCAGGTTTCTGTCAAAAAATTATCCTAAGTTTCTGTTCAGAGGTTAGTACTTTGAGCTCATCCAGCTTGTTGATGAGACTCTGACAGTTAGCGTAATAGTCTAATAGACCACTGGTGTAAGTTTCCACGTATGTTGTCCCTTTTTATCGACACCTTTTACCGTACACTAAATTTTTTGTTTATCTCGGAAAACTACGTCATTCTGTTTTTCTCCAACTGTCGACATTCGCGTTATCAGCACGAACCGTTCGGGCAACGGTTGGGGAAAAACATAATGACGTAACTTTCCGAGACAAACAAAAATTTGAAGTATATGGCAAAAGGTGTCGATAAAGGTTAAGCTCAGTAATGCATGATTGCCTAGACTGTTGATCAAAAAGAGGCGGCGGCCGCGGACATCCAACCACTGAGGACTCACCGACAACATCAGACTTTGATTCCGGCGGGGCTATATCCCATGCTGCGCTTGGACGGACTAATTTAATTCTCTACTTCAACTGCTCCTCCAAAACCCGTATCTTTTCCCTACAGGATTCGACGGTGGTGTCATTGTCTCCAACAGTGGGAGGATATCTGTCCAAATCAGGAACTGACAGAGATTTCTGTGACTCTCCCATTTCTGAAGCTTCGAATTTTGTCAACTTTGGTGAGTACATACGACCGCCGACTGATGGCCCGCTCGCGTAACTCACACCAAGTCTGTTGAATC